CCCCCCCCCACAGGGGGCTGAGGGGCAGGGTCAAAAGTTGGCAATATGGCTATATTGCTACAAACGACTTCTTCTGTAGAATTATGCCATGGATATCGTTCATATTTGGTCAGAAACATTCATGGGAGGCAGGGATTCAAAATTGTACAAATGGTGGGGCTGACCCCCACCCCCGTGGTGAGGCCAAAAAAGGTTTTATTACTTGGAAATGGTTGAGATTCCCACAGTATAACCATATATACAATTGTGGAGTATAAAGAGAAAAATGTACATTTGCTTCCAGGATGGCCTAGGATCTGGCAGTCATGATATTAGAATTGATCCTGGGGTCTGGCCACAACCCTAGGGATCTAATTTCTGAGTCACAGCTTGGAAACAGTTGAGATCCCCACCCCATAACCATACATTAAATTGCTGGACATGAAAAATCTAATACAGACATACTACAAGAATTGGCATTGCGGTCTGGCATATTCCCTTGGATCTCATTTGGAGAATATTTTGCCAGGATTGCTTGGATATCCAGGTGAGCGATACAGGCCCTCTGGGCCTCTTGTTTTATCATGTTATAAAGACGCTACAGTTTAATACAAAGATCAGAAAACCTTATGTTATATTTACTTGTTGTTTACAGCTGGTGGCCCGCTAGTTCAGTGGAATGAGCACTCGCGTGACATGAAGAAGGGAATACACGTTGGGAAGGATCCCAAATCTCTGGTCCTGTTCATCCCCGCGGACTTTGACAAGGTGGAACACTACCACATTCCCTGTGAGATACATAAGCTTGAGGTGAGTCATTGGGACATATATGTTGTGAAAGTTTTCTTTTATAAGCAATTATTTCTCAAAACGTTTTTTGTTTAAGCGGATATTTTAGTTAGGGGTTTATGCTACATTGTACATTTTACATGTTTTTTTGTGATAGAATTAAAGATTTATGCTACCTAACAGATCATTCCTTTTATTTGTGTTAAATGATTGAATAGGGTTCAATGTCTTATCAACAGCTACTGTCATTTAAGGAAATGTAAAAGTTACGATAGATGCTACATTACACCTACATATAATGATCTGTGTGAGTTATCTCAAAGTTTAGAACTGTTTTGGAATGGAAATGCATATCATATATATCCTGTAAGATATTATGTTGACCTTGTTGTGCTAGATACAATATCATTCTAGAGTTTCCAAAAAAGTATCAATATTGGTACAGTTATTTCTGACTGTGCTTGCATACCTTTCAGAGTTAGCTAATGTTTACCACACCCTTGATTAGTTACATGAATATTAATAAGCCCACCACTATCATACTTATGTCACATGCACTGCAGAGGTTTGTTCTGATTTTAAGATATAAACATACAAGGTGGGTTTCTTTTTCCTCCTCTAAATACACCCTCACATCATGTTTTTTGGGGGTTTGCTTTCGGGACCAAGGTATTATGATAAGAAATAAACTTTGTGTATACACCTTGTTTATGTGTTCATACTGTGATATTTTTAGCAATAATACTTTAAAACTGTGTGTTTGTGCCCACAAGTATAGAGGAAAAGTGTTAGCATGTGATAGAACCAATTGCATGCAGAAATCCTTCTTATATACATGTTTAAATACCCTTGTGAGTGTATTAATCGATAAAATGAATTTGTTCCTGTTTGTTCAGAAGACGATAGGGGGGGTATTGATTTTATAATTTACTGCATTTAATTTCCAGGCTTGAATTAGATCATTGATAATGCAGGAATTGGGAGACAGTAGTCACAACTGTCAAAAAGTAAAGATTTGATACAAGCAAAATTGAAAAAAAGGTTGAAAAGTTAATGATTTGTCATGTTTTATGATTTACAGGTCTGGGGATGTGGCTCAGAGAAGGCGAGAGATGCTCAAATTCAACAGAAGAAATGGGAAAACAAGGATGCAGAAAAACAGAAAACAAGAAAGGTAAGAGACTTCACAGACAAATGCTGGTCCTGACTTAGGTAGGATACTTCATATACAGATACTGGTCCTGGCTTAGGTAGGATACTTTATAGAGCTAACAGTTACTGGTCCTGACTTAGGTAGGATACTTTATAGAGCTAACAGATACTGGTCCTGACTTAGGTAGGATACTTTATAGAGCTAACAGTTACTTGTCCTGGCCTAGGTAGGATACTTCATAGAGCTAACAGTTACTGGTCCTGACTTAGGTAGGATACTTTATATCCAGATACTGGTCCTGGATTAGGTAGGATACTTCATAGAGCTAACAGATACTGGTCCTGACTTAGGTAGTGTACTTCATAGAGCTAACAGATACTGGTCCTGACTTAGGTATGGTTCTTCATAGAGCTAACAGATACTGGTCCTGACTTACGTAGTGTACTTCATAGAGCTAACAGATACTGGTCCTGGATTAGGTAGGATACTTCATAGAGCTAACAGATACTGGTACTGGCCTAGGTAAGATACTTCATAGAGCTAACAGATACTGGTCCTGGCCTAGGTAGGATACTTCATAGAGCTAACAGATACTGGTCCTGACTTAGGTAGGATAATTTATACAGCTAACGGATACTGGTCCTGACTTAGGTAGGATAATTTATACAGCTAACGGATACTGGTCCTGACTTAGGTAGGATACTTTATAGAGCTAATAGATACTGGTCCTGGCTTAGGTAGGATACTTAATAGAGCTAACAGATACTGGTCCTGACTTAGGTATGGTTCTTCATAGAGCTAACAGATACTGGTCCCGACTTACGTAGTGTACTTCATAGAGCTAACAGATACTGGTCCTGACTTAGGTAGGATAATTTATACAGCTAACAGATACTGGTCCTGACTTAGGTAGGATACTTTATAGAGCTAACAGTTACTTGTCCTGGCCTAGGTAGGATACTTCATAGTGCTAACAGATACTGGTCCTGACTTAGGCAGGATACTTCATAGAGCTAACAGATGCTGGTCCTGGCCTAGGTAGGATACTTCATAGTGCTAACAGATACTGGTCCTGACTTAGGAAGGATACTTTATAGAGCTAATAGATACTGGTCCTGGCTTAGGTATGAGACTTCATAGAGCTAACAGATACTGGACCTGACTTAGGAAGGATACTTCATAGAGCTAGCAGATACTGGTCCTGGATTAGGTAGGATACTTCATAGAGCTAACAGATGCTGGTCCTGACTTAGGTAGGATACTTTATAGAGCTAACAGATTCTGGTCCTGACTTAGGTAGGATAATTTATACAGCTAACAGATACTGGTCCTGCCTTAGGTAGGATACTTTATAGAGCTAACAGTTACTTGTCCTGGCCTAGGTAGGATACTTCATGGAGCTAACAGATACTGGTCCTGACTTAGGTAGGATAATTTATACAGCTAACAGATACTGGTCCTGACTTAGGTAGGATTCTTTATATCCAGATACTGGTCCTGGATTAGGTAGGATACCTCATAGAGCTAACAGATACTGGTCCTCACTGGATTAGGCAGGACATTTTATAGAACTGAAAGATGTTCTGGCTGAGACACATTTCTGACTTAGGTAGGATACTTCATAGAGCTAACAGATACTGGTCCTCACTGGATTAGGTAGGACATTTTATAGAACTGAAAGATGTTCTGGCTGAGACACATTTTGTTGTTGGAATGTTGCCAGCTGTTTTTTGTATAGAGAATTGATATATTGGATATATCAATATATTGACAGCATAAATACAAAGCTTGTTTTCTAAAACATGATTGTGTTTGTTATGAAAATTTTATAATACAAACTTAAGTATATTAACCAACTCTCCCTATATTGGAGAGAGACTCCTGATTTTGGACCCTGAAATTCAGCATTTTCAACCAGGGAACTTGCTTAATTATTCCTATTTTTAGGTCACCTGAGACAGAGTCTCAAGTGACCTATTGCGATCGCCTTTTGTCCGTCGTCGGCCGTCGGCCGTCGTGCGTCCGTAAACAATTTACATTTTCGACTTCTTCTCCAAAACCCTTGAACCAATTTCAATGAAATTTTGCAGGGACCTTCCATGGACAAAGGTCAACAAAAATAATTGCCGGTTTAGTCCTAAGCCCCCAGGGGCCTGAGGGGCGGGGCCAAAAAGGGTCAAATTGACTAAAATTTCAAAAATCTTCTTCTCCAAAACCCCTGAACCAATTTCAATGAAATTTTGC